AGCTCGGACCCAAACGTGTTGCATGCGATGCATGTAGGAAGCGCCGTATCCGATGCAAACACAAAGACGAGCTTATTGATACATCGAAGCCGGGCATGCACACCATCGACCTCTCTGGCTCGTATGGCATATCTGTCAAACGCCGGCTCAGCGATCACTCTGTTGCAGATAGCTTGTCAAACGCCGCCAATGGTCCAGTGAATGGCGGCCCAATCATGGCTGATGTGAACGGCGACCCTTATGCACTCAAGTCTGGCAGAGTCAAAGCTTGTGCGGACTGTAGGAAGAGCAAGCGTCGATGCATACACGATGAATACGGCAACGTCGATCCTGTCAAGGCCAACGAGATTCCCATTCCGCGGGGTTCAGCTTCAAAGAAACGAAGAGTCAGCGATGAGGATTCGGGATCAATCGCGAAGCGGATGAGACACGAATCTTCATACGACGACGAATATCTGAACGGAGACATGCACGCGCGACATTCTCTACCGAACCAGTTCAGTGGCGGTTCGTCTTTCCTCCAAGAGATGGCCTATTCCGCCCAACAAGCGCTGGATCAAAGTCCTGAGAATGACGATCTAGTGCCCGTTGATCCTGCCCTCCAAGCATATACGAACGGCGACTACAGTCACGACGTGGCGAACTCGTACCACCCAAACGGCGATACGGTCATGTCGTCGGTTGAGTATCAGCCAACCGATCCGATGCTCATGGATGGAATGGAGCCAACCGGCCGCAACGGCGAAGTCCATGGTCCTAGCATAGAGCCGCTCACGCCTGGTCCGCCACCACACAACGATACTGCGCAAACGCACACGAACGGCTTCACATCAAAGCCCGGATCAGAACATCATGCTGTTCGCAACCCATCATCACCCGTCTCGCCCAGACACGTCTCCGCTGCATCGCCCACGGCAACCACCAACAACAACCACACTTATAACCCATACATCACCTCCCCGGCCACAAACAACTACAACAACTTCACCACAAACTCCGATTTCCCTCCCCCACCTGTCACGCCCACACCCAACAACTCATACAAAGCCCGTACCCAGAACTCCTCTGGTCGCAAAGCCAGTCAAACGCCCTCCCGCGCTGGCCGCAATAGCAAAACACCAAAGTCCACACCCAGCAAACGGCAAGAAAACGGCAATGGCAATGGCATCAAACTGGAGCACGGCATGAGTATGGGAACAGGCATGGGCATCGGCGTGGGCATGAATGGAGGCATGAACGTCCCCATGGGCAGCATGATCAACATGATCGACCCCAACCTCGACCAAGCAAGTTTTGATCTCATCAAGCAGCTACAACAAGAGGATTTGGGATTACGAAGGCGGAGTCGTTGAGCAAACTACACCACACCACACCATTTCTTGGCACTACTTCACTATCATTGGAGATGTTCTCCTCCCTTTTCTTTGATTTCTGCACTTCATTTTCTGTTTTGTCTTGTCTTGCATCAATTCGATCAACGGCGTTAGAACATGTCCAACGTATGGGGACAACGGGACTTGCGCGGCGTTTACTACTTCCTTGTTAGGAGGCTTTTGCTTATACCCAACTATCCGGCACTGGGATAGTGTACATTGCAACTTTTTCTTTTCTCTTTCATACTCATGTGGTGGAGGGGATAGTAGGCGTTCGTTAGCCAGCATGGACTGCGGCTCTTTCCTTGTTCAGTTGTTCGCTCTTGGGGGTTCGCATGCATAGTATCATAGATAATGGTGACTAGTCGCGTATGATTTGGTAATGCAAATGCACACCTGTTCACAAAACGCTTTCTTCGTTCATAATTTCGCTTCCTTGAGGAATGTTGTGGTGTTCCGTTATTTCATTGGACGTGTCTAAGTCGTGATTCGAGTGAGACTGCTACACTGCAGCATTCGTACTCTGCCATCTGCCATCTGCCATCTGCCATCTGCCATCTGCCATCTGCCTCGCTTGCGTCGGCTTCCTCCCCTAGTCTCAACCCGTCACACTACTCCAACGCACTAGTAACGTTCGAGAACTCGCCCTTCTTCAGCTTCGTCTCCCAGAAAATCGGATTCGTGTCGTTGAAGCCGTGCTTGACCCAGCCGTCCTCCTTGACATGGTACAGGTTGATGAAACCACCAGAGTACGCGTCGCGATGGGTGGCAGCGAGGATACTCCTCCTGCCCAGCTCGAGCGCCTCGTCGTCTTCGAGTTCGTACTTGTACTGTGCGTCGAGCACACCGTAGGCGAAGGTCTGTCCGGAACCGACACAGAAGAGGTTACCGGCGAGGCGAGTGCCGTCGCTGTCGATGTAGTAGAGGGCGGGGCCTTCTTGCGGGGTTACGCCTGCGCACATTGTTCCCTGGAGCGTGTGTTAGATGGGGAGGGAGAGAGATTGGCTGTAAGGGGGGAAAACGTACCATACTCAGACCCATGCCCTTGTATGAGTAGACGAGGTTGGCGAGGATCTTGGAGGCTGCGGCGACGGAGATACGGCGCTTGTGGCGGAGCTCGTGGAGGCGACATTGCATTCCGAGGTATGCGAGCCAGTATTGGCAGTCCTATCGTATGTCAATACTCCGCTTCTCTTCAGACTCCTTCTAGTATTTGTCCTGTACGTACAGCAGCGCCACCAGCCATGGTTCCCAACAAGCAGTTGTTGATCTCAATGACCTTCTTGACCGTCTGACTGGCTATCCAGTTTCCAGCCGTCGCACGCGAATCGGTGGCTACGATAATGCCGCCCTTGAAGCGGAAGGCGAGGGTTGTGGTTCCGTGGGCGATCTTGATGGGGCAATTTGGGTTGGAGTAGTCGTCCGTCATTGCGCGGAGCCATGATGCTGACTATGAGATCGTCAGTACATTCCGCTCCTTATATGCTATAGTAAAGGAATAGCGCACCTGAGCTACTGGTGGTAGGGCAAACTTGAGAGACAGCTCTGGGGTGCCGCTGTAGAGCTGCAACTGCTCCTCATCGGACGGGCCTTCCTCTGTATACGCCGGTCGGCTGTACTGCGATACTAATGAGTCCATGGTTGCGACGGTGTGTATTGGCGGGATTCAGAGGGTATCGGAAACGTGATCGAGTGGTTGGGGTGGGGTTGTTTGATTGTTTGACGTGGTGATGTGAGCTCGAAGCTCCGGCGTTGTCGGTAATGCCAAGACATAGCCGCGTCTAGCTGTTGCCTTCACCAGTCCGGTGGATCAGCGCCGATGAACTACCCTCCAACGACCTGCGCACTTTCGAGCTGTCTTTGCGCCTAGACTCTGCCATGGGCGACGAGCCCTATCGCTTGCTTTGTTCTTTGCTATGCTTACGTCTTCCTCCCTAGTACTAACCTCGCAGTGATCGCCACTCACACGAACAGCGATGCTCTGTATTGCGCGCCTGGCGTACGTCGTCGCCATTTAGCGCAACAGCATCTACCCCATTTAACTAAGAGAAGGGATGCAATGATGCTCACAGACATGCACACGCGCAAAGAGTGTAGAGATAGCCGCAGTCATCCCGTCACACACAGCGACGGACCAGCGTGGCGCAGACGCATCGCAAAAGAGGGAAATGCCATCTGAAGGACTATTGCACGACCTTGATACATATCCACGTACGTCATCAGGTACTACAAGTTCCCGCATCGCGCAAGTCAGGAACGGGCGTTGGGGCTCAAGCGTCACATGCCGCTCGTTGAGACTTGAGGTCAGGCAAGACATCGCGCCGACCCACGCGCGCATCTCGCACCCATGTCAGCCTCAGTCACTCGCCCAGCGGACTTGAACACATGTTTGCATTGCCTATATGCAGGCACCAGCAACAATCATGCAGGCACCGTCTTCACTCGCTCTGTCTCATTTGTCCTCTCACGTATAAGCATACGTGCGGCCCGCGTGCAGGTCCGGCGCAGCGTGCGTGATGGTAGCAAATGATCGTCGAGGGCAGCAGTATATACATAAGTGGACGCCATCAAGAGAAGGAGTGCGAAAGGATCTGATCATATGTACATTGTGTGTCAGCCATAGGATAAAGTACCGCCTTCACCCCATTGTCTGCTCTTCTTTCAAGTCTTCTGAATGCCCCGTTACGACACTACACCTTATTCGTACTATCAACCTTCGCGACCACCCTCAACTTACACCCCATCTTTCTCACACACTGCTTACCATCGTATTGCCCCTCCCACACGACTCCACCCCTTGCCCGCGCGCATCGATTCCGGCGTTGATCTCTCCTCGCCGCGCACCAGAAATGTGCTGGTTCACCCTCACACCAGCCAAAGGCAAAAAGCAACAGCGCCCTTCTACCGACTCTTCATGTGCGGAGGAACTCGTTCGCGTTCGCCGTAGTCCAGCATCACCCCGGTTCAGCGACGTCCGCGTCAGAGTACCGAGTATGAGCCTCGAGGTGGAGGAAGGGGGTGGTCAGGATCACGTGCACTTCGACGCGCACCTGAACCACCACCACAGACACCCTCATCTACATCCATTACTCATGCATCCGATTCATGGTCACAGCCACCACCACCACGGACTCGGCATAGTCGATATCAAAGAAGGCCACCTCCGCGGCTCCGGCAGGAAACGCACAATCTCATCCCCCTGCCCTCCACCTCCAACCCGCGAACCATCCCGTTGCCCACCACCGTCCCGCCCCCGCGAACCTACTTATCACACCCAAATCGTCGAACCTAGGGTATCAACAACCACAGTCCGGGAGAACACCCGCACAGCCCTCCGCAGCGTCCAACAAGAGCGGACCCGAGGAACCTTACGCAGAGTAGCCGGTTACGAAGCCTTGAGTAAGAGCATGCCGTGGGATTGGGATTGCGTGAGTAGTACTGTGGGGAGTAGTGCGAGTGGGGGTGGGAGGTGGATGAGGAGGAGGAAACCGAGTGGGTTGAAGTATCCGCCGTTTGGGAGTATGGATCGTTGGCTTTGACGCCTTTTCTTTTGTCTGGGTCTGGTACTGGATTTCTAGGTTGGAGCGATTGGTTTTCATTATTATGACGTGTTATATACCCGAAGTTTTATACCCTCTTCTCGATGCATACGGGCCATGAATGCGGGACGACCGTGAAGTAGGCTTTCCATTGCCAGTCTTGCGTAGAGTCTACTTGCTTGATGTTGTAGTCCCTAACCAGCGTTGCTGCGATCTTGGCGAGCTCGATCTTAGCGATGTTTTGACCTGGACAGCCACCGTAACCTGCTCCGAACTATGTGAATGAGTCAGTGTACGTGCGCAGCCACTGGTCTGGACTCAGTGTGTAGGAAAATGTCACTCACAGGTATCCAGTACTTTTCTTTCGCAGCGCTATCTTCGTTCAACCAGCGATCTGGATAGAAGATGTGTGCATCAGCTCCCCATATCTCTTTCGAGTAGTGCATCACCCATGCTGTAGTTTGAGATCAGCATGGCCAATAGATGATGGCACTGAAGTGTCTTCACTCACGGCTGATCGAAACAATAGTACCCTCAGGTATAGTGCGATTGCCTATCGTCAAGCCTCCCTTAGGCGCAATACGCGGAAGACCCATAGGCACTGGACCAAAGATACGAAGCGCTTCTTTTACGCAGGCTTGCACGTAACTATTCAACGTCAGTCCTGCATGGTCTTCCAAGCTGATGCAAAGAAACTGTCCCCTCACCCAAGTTGCTGCGCATCAGCGTAAGACACCACCCGACCCCCACAAAACCCCTTCTCCACTGCTTTCGGCACTTCCTCATGCGCGCGTTCCCACGCATCCTCATGCCGAATCATATGATAAACAAAAGACTGTATCCCCGCAGCCACCGTGTCCGACCCCGCACCTACAGCCGCAAGCGCCTGCGTACCAATCTCGCGTATAGTAAACCTACCCGGATGCTTCTCATGCTGCTTATACCAGTACTGAACAGCGTCATACCTCACATTCTCATTCTTCTCTCGATCGGCTAATACTGACTTGACAGTGTCGAAGAGATGGCCCATTGGTAAGATGGACAACCATGTCATAATCGGGTTGGCCAACAGGGCGATGTTGAGCCAGCGGAAGTAACCTGCTACAGCAATGTATGCGTTCAGAGCGAGGGAGTTTGAGATGGAGTTCCCGATGTCTTTGCCTTGGGCGAGGAAGCCAAACGGCTTGGAGAAGACGATTTCGCCGATTACGTCGAAGGTTAGGTAGGATATGTAGGTGTTGAGATGTATTGGTTTCTTCGCGGATGCGTATTCGTCCATCCAGTCGAGGAAGATTTCGAAGGTACGGTCAATGTGCTCTTCGGAGCGGAGGAGGTTGGAGACGGTATATGCTGCGGCTATGTATTTTGATTTGTCGATCTTCTTTTTAGGGTCGGTGGTGCTCATGGGTGATTGGAAGCGGTAGTCTGGTAGAGCGTGGATCTTGTACCAGTTTGCCTTGTACTTATGTTAGTCATCTAATGGATCAGAGGTGCTTTCCAGGTGCTACCTTATGGAGGGGAGCTACGAGGATCTTCGCAATGGCATCTGGATGGCTGATGCTGACTTCGTCGTATGAGATACGAACGAAGTGACCTAGAAGGACTGTGAGCAGACTATCGATGACCGGCGCTTCTGCATATCTGGTATACTTACCATGTTTTTCGTGTAAGCGTATGACTTCGAGGTTCTGATCGCCTTTCAGAATACGATGCATATGCCAAAGGCGAGTAAAAGAAGCAGCAAACGGTCCTGGTACATCGCTGATTGCGGAGAAGTACCGGCGCCATGTAAGTAGAGTCAAGAGGCTGATGCTAGCAATCGAAGTGACTAAAAGCCAGACCATGTTGATTCGGTCTAAACGACTGATGTCTCTGTATAGTGGAAAGATATGCGGCGTGGCACTTGAGGGGGATGAAAGGATTCGAGCCTTGCATACTTTTGGAGTAGCGGGATGCGCCTTTAACCCAATCGGGCTTTTAGCGACATGCAGTTCGAGATGGCATAGATTACGGACCGTTAGCGTGGGGGAGGATGGGATCCTAAAGTTTTCCCATGGATACGCGGCTTGATACACTACGATACTGAGTAACTCAATACAGGAGTGAATCGCTATGCCGAGCTATATATACCAAGTCTCAACCCAGCTCTAACGCAAGCCTTCGGACGTATGTCTTGAAAGCGCTATAATCTCGGTGTATGTCGCACATCCAGTTCAGTCGTCACAATGATTGAGTTCTGCCGGGATGACTTTACAGAATTGGAATGCGACTCCCCAAACCCGAAAACCAGTGGACTTGGTTGTTTGTGTATCCCTTCCACGAGCTCCACTTGCGACTCGTTGCCAGTCAGCCCTTGCTCTAGCCTGGTTATAGTTCCCATGGAAGCGCGCTTATTTCGAAGTCCTCGGCGCATCGACGAGAGATGGTATGGCTTTTCGTTCGATCGCTCGTAACTGCCCGCAGAGCTGTCTCTGCCTCTGATCTTACCCCACAGTGCTTTCATTGCGGGTAGATTCGCCGCAACAATCGCACATTGGACCTCGAATGATGCCACGATTATCATCTTCCCTACATCGATTGATAGGTCTGTCTTCATCGAGGATACCGATATGAGGATGGGTAGGCGGATGATTGCGACTGTGACGGAGATGATGCCGAAGGCGAGGACGGAGACGACGGTGACCTTGCGACGTAAATTCATTTGGAGGGTCAAAACGGAAGGTATCGGAAGACAGATAATGTAGAGGTCCATAAAGATGTTCTGAGGGCGACAGTTGTCAGTATACGCGTGAAATGCGGTGGTTGGGTGCAGCCAATACGTACAAGAATAGGTGGTGTGAGCATCATGACACGCATGTCGATGCATTTAACCTCGGGATGCAACATGGGGTTGAGAATCTTCTCGAATGGTATGCATTGGAGGACCGTCATGAGCCTAGATGCCGTCAGTCAGTGGCTGTATGGGCTGCGAATACCATTCAACTTACAAGCTGGAGAGAAAAACCGAGAACGCGAGCGCGAATCCAAGATATACAAATCTGCGGAACGTCTGGCCAACAGAAAGCCGGAGATAGAACAAGAGAAAGGTCATCTTGATGACGGAGTGTGCGCCATAGATCACGATCTCTTCGATAAATGATATCTGGGTGCTTCCTTAGTTCTTCCATCTCTCACGGTAACGCTGCTGGAGGGCTCACCCGAAGAAGATCGAGGGATTGGAAACTGCAATTCACGTTGCCTGGTCTGTTGGAGTCGATAGTAAGCCTTCGCACAATCCCAGAAGATCACCCGCAAACTTACTTGCCACAGCCCAGGTTCAGAAAGAGCTGCAGAACAACTTGATGAACAATACTGACGACCTGAAAGAATAAGCGACTGTGGAAACATCGCAAATCTGGTCATATTTTACCAGCACAAGACATGAAGCTGTATCATCCCAACCCCATGATCTCAAGACTAGTGCGCGAGAGTAAAATCGGGCGACCGAGGATAGCAAGCCGATCGCGAACGTGACGTAGGCGACAACATACGCCCACTCGAAGAGGCTGAGCACCATACTGAAGCTGTAGGGTGGGAACTACTGCTGGAGGAGAAGGATGAACGAGCAACTCCACAAAGCAGAAACAAAGGAGATGCATCTTAGATCCAACTGCGCGAAGATCAAGCCTCCATTCTACACGATGCCCGAAACAGCGTTCACGCATCGACACGAAGCAAAAAACCTTTATCGCGTCTCATCTGGCTCGCTGATTTGCCTGACACACCGGGAATGCGCGCCACGGCACGACGTGCGGCGCAATTAAAGCCGGACCTGGTATAGCCATGTGTATTGTACCCCATCTCAGGGGAGACGAATGTTGATCTTATGTCGTTATGGCGGCAATCTAGATGGCGTGTGTGCTCAGGACGCGAAGAGGTACAGGCTGAGGAGCGCGGTTGAGGCCGCGAGGGGGTGACGAGCTATTCAACGGTCCTGCCGCCTTGGCAACGTACACGTGCGAGGTGGTACTATCGTCGGGTAACTTGTTCATGATCGCAAATTGGCTGATTTGGGGGGTTTAGGAGATTTGCAAGAGAATTGGAGATGTTGGAGGGTGAGGCGTGGAAGTGTGGCTAGTCAGCAAATGTCGGAAGGGTCCAAGCAATGACTAAGAAGGCACGTCATTGCGACGCATTGGCATCGACACTGAGTAAGAGCGACGGCACGTAAAGGTACCGAGGTATCGACATGCCATAACACAAGATTTTGCGGAAACCATCGATACAATGCGAACGATTATCGCCCAAAAGACTAGATTACGGATGCACACTTCCTCGATTACACATCCTTCACAAACCCAACCTCAATAACCTTATCCATAGGAACATCCAAACTCGCAATCTTCGCTCTCGAGTTATCCCGAATGAACAAGAAAGCCTTCAAGAAGAACCGACGGATGATGTTCGTACCGACCTTAACCTTCATCTGCTCTTTCCCAATAATGTACAAGACTTCACGGTTGTACGCACGCTCAAGGGCTTCCAGACGAGCAGAAGTAGTTGAGCTGCGTGTTGGAGTCGATATGCCACTCCCAGCAACAGTCTCGGTAACCATGGTCTTCTCCGGCTGGGCGCCGGTAGCCTTGGCTGATATCTCGCCTTCGCGTTCCAGGGCCCGTGCGACGATGTGGTTGCGGACTTTCTCGTAGATCAATGATGCTAGATCTGGGGTGATTACTTCGTCCATGTAGCCGTGGCGGACTACTAGGCGGTAGCAGTTTGGAACGGCGAGTCGCGAAACACTGTATCGATTCTCTGGAGCGACGAAGGGTACCTCCAGCGGCCGGAGATGGAAGAATACGATGACCTCAGGGATGGTGACTAGTTTGCGGATGAATTGACTGAAGACGATGGGAGTTGTCTCGCCGGCTTTGTCGAAGAAGATGCCGAAGCCTTCCATGGTTCCGACAGATTTGCTGCCATATTGCTCGGTTAGCTCTAAGCGGCCGTCTGGTAGTGTCTTTACGAAGTGCGTTGTTGGGAAGCGATCACTGGCCTCGGCGCCCCACTGTTGCTCTTTGCCAAATCGCCAGAGGATGAATATGGATCCGAGAAGGCAGGCAAGCAAGATGGTGAACCAAGCACCGTCGGGTACTTTAGTGAGTGCCGATGACAGGTAGGTACCGTCCAGGCAAGCGATGGTGAGCCAAGGAAGAAGTACAAAGTATGGCTTGATGCGCCACACTAGGATCGCAACGAGGGTAACCATGCAAGTGTCGAAGAATGTGACGAACATGACGCATACACCGTAGGCGTTACCCAAGGATGTTGTGTTGTTGTAGATAGCAGCGACAAGTACAGTGCCAATCATCAGTAGCCAGTTGATGCTGGGGATATATAGCTGTCCGTGATACGTTGTCGAAGTGTGGACGACCTTGATCTGCGGGAAGTACGAAAGCTTCATGATCTGGGTCAGGAGCTGGAACGTCGCCGTGATCATGGCCTGCGACGCAACGATGGCAGCAGCGATGGCTACGATAAGCGAAAAGATGAGCCATCCTGGTGGGGCACAGTTGTAGAAGGGGTTGGAGTATGCTTCCGGGTGCACACTGATGTAGGCAGCTTGACCACTGTAGGCAAGCAGTAAACACGGGTAGGCGTATCCGAGCCAACTGATCTGTACGGCACGGCGACTGAAGGCACCGATATCTGCGAACAGGGCTTCAACGCCTGTAAAGGCCAGGAGTATACCACCAAGACTGCGCCAGCCTTCGTATTTGTTCCGTATCAGGTAGTCGAATGCATAGAAAGGATTGAAAGCTTTTAGGATCGCGTAGTCATAGCTGTAGTTGTCAGTCAAGAGTACTTCGGGAGTAACAAGAATACATACTTGGCAAGGTTGTATACTCCAAACCCAGCGTTCAAGGCCAGCCATACAATGACGATGGGCGAGAAGACAAACGTCAATTTCGTGACACCAAGCGGCTGCACGACGAATAGCAGGACCAGAATGGCGCATGTGACACCGATGATGGTGGACTTCTCGATATCAGGCTTCACGACGTTTAGACCTTGTACGGCACCCAAGACGGATTGAGCTGGAGTGAGAACACCATCAGCCATGACCATCGATACGGCTAGTACACCGATGACCTGCAGTAGACCGCGAAAGAACTTGGACTTTTCGATAGTTGAGCGGATGTTTCTTGTGGATCGGCCCAGAGTATCGGTATTGTGTCTCTCCATCCCTGCATGAAGTCAGTATAAGAAGACCTATGGCATGATGCACACTCACGTATGAGGGTTGCTTCGCGTGGATCTCTGTTCGCGATGTTTGCCTACATACATCAGTGACTGAGGTACTCACGCACGTTGTTTGACGTACATATTTGGAAAGAAGCGAGTATGTGCTGAATGTGCCACCCTCTCCATCGTTGTCGGCGCGTAGGATGATCAAGACGTACTTGACGGTGACCATCAACGTAACAGACCATAGTATGAGGGACAGGGCACCGAGCAGATTGATTCGACTAGGCGCCTCTGTGAACGTCGAAGAGTAAACATAGAGCGGTGACGTTCCAATGTCGCCATAGATGACACCGGTAGATTGGTATGCAAGGACGAGGATCTGTGTCAGACTGAAGACCTGTGTCGCGTCAGTGTGCTGGATCACACCGC